CCAAACAATCCATAAGAATATATAAACAGTTTCTTTCAATCCATGAAAAGTAATAATGAATGACATATTCTGATCGTAATTTTATTAAATTATTAGTTTCATTTAAAACATTTTCTTTTTGTTTTTCTGACAAATCTTTAAATTAAAAATATAATTAAAATAATATAAAATTTAATCATTATATATTACAATTTAATTGGCATGTTTTCATTGCATAAATCTTTACGTTGTGTTTAAATTTTACTTTATTCACTTGTCCAAAACTACCCGAACCTAACTTTTCCAATGTTTCATACATTTCTAGATCATTTATTTTACAATTGATTTCTAATATAATATATAATTAATTAAATTCATGACTAATTAATTTAATAAAATGGATAACAATATGCAATTATATTGTTCTTATTTCATACCATAATGTTGTATAGTATTACATGGTTGAACATTGTTTGAAGGTGTCGTCAAATTAATAGTTTTATTGGTTATTTGATGTTTGTTAGCAAAATAATCATCAAACGTTGTGTATTTAGTTTCAATTACCACATCATAATTTATTTCAAACACTTTTTCACCACTTATTCCAATAATAAACTTAGAATTATTTACACAAAGATAATTAAACAATAAGTTAGTAATCATAATCATTTTTCCGTTTATCAAATCATATTTATATGTATGTTTATCATTAGATAATATAATAATCATGTCTTTATATATTTTGTTTATAGATTTAATATTAAAGACATTCATTAATAATTTTGGTGTATTTGTTGTCACGTTATTCCACATAAACACCCGTCCATTGGATGTAATGGCGAGTGAGTTAAGAAGTGAGCAAATAATGTCAACAATTTTGTATTCAATGGGAAATTGTATTTCAATTGGTTTTTGTGTTTTCATTGAATTATATCTTAAATGATATACCCGTCCATTGGATGTCAAAACAATTGCTTCGTATATAAAACATGATATTTTTTCAATACGAATATCACGTGAATTACATAATAATATTTTGTGCGTTTTATTATAAGTGTCTCCATTGGGAGACTTATTGCGACCCCAACCATATATCTCGTAATCGGTATTCAAAGCCAATACAAAGTCTTCGCCATTAAAAAATTGTTGTATATTTTGATGACTTAATTGCGGCACTTCTTCGGGCGTATGTATGGGTCGGTTGTGTCCCAAACCCAACTCTCCCTCACTATTACTGCCCAACCCATAGACCCGATCATCGGTTGTCACAAACAATATATTTTTATACTTTGCTGGTTGAAAAATATGGAATAATTTGATTTTTTTTCTGAAATTGTCGGGAATTTTCGAACAAATTTCAAACTTATTTAAAATTTCAGACATTATTATTAAAAGTTTTATTATTACGTAAAACCAATTTAAATAGTTATTAACTTTGCATTTATTTAATAAAATAAGTTTTAAAATTTTAGATAATAGTTAAAAGTTATTAAAATTATAAATTAATCAAAAATATAATTTTATAATATTTATAATAAGTTATAATTATTATAATTATTTAATTATATTTGTTATATAATTTAATCACAACAAATATGATAATCGCATTCAATCAATTTTTAAAATATAATTTATTTTTCGATGTTATAAATAACATTCACAAATATCTGCAATTGTATTGATTACAACGTTTGCAATAATAACACAAAATATTGATGAATACACGGTTTGGTTGTTAGAGACGAACACAAAACACACAATAATTGCCATACATTTCATAACAATTGATAAAATATAAAGTTATATTTTATTGCAGTACAAAATGAACATTCTCCATTATGCTCTTTCTTTTGCTTTTTACATTGTCAACTGTACACATGATCTTATGATTATGATAAGTTACAAATATTAATTCAATTTTCTTCTGTATTTACTATTCAAATAATTATTTAATATAATTTTTTATAATTTAAAATTACAGACTTTATTATCAAAATTTTATTATTACAAAACAAGAACAATTCGTAAGAACAATTTAATAGTTAAGTTATTAAACATTATTAATGTTGTAATAAAGTGTTTATTATTTTTATAATAAAAATATTTTTAGTTGTGCTAAATGACAATTTGTTAATTCATAAGATTGCATTGATTGCCACTTTTCCAACAATAACTGCAATATATAAATAAATACACGGTTTGGTTGTTAGAGACGAACACAAAACACATGATAATTGCCATACATTTCATAACAATTGTTAATTCCTAAGATTTTATTATATAATAGTTATATTTTATTAATGTGTACAGTAATAATAATTTATCATTATATTAAAGGAAAGGCAGAGTTTCCAATCGTCCCAGTTTTTTTCTTTTATAGTTATTTGTAATCTCTATGTTAAATCTATGGGAGTAAAGTTATTTAAATTGGGTAATTATTTTTCTATAAAAATATATTAACGAATCTTACGAATTAAATAAAACTAATTGTTAATAAAAAACGTTTAAAATTCTTGAATGTATTCTAAAAAAGTATTATAAAAAGTTTAAAGTTATTGTTGCATTTCCCAGAATTGTGGTCAATACATAGAATCGTCGTGATCCTTGTTTAATTTGCATACAATGCATACATAATGTTTTGATTGTATTAAACAAGCATGTTGTAGTTTTGAATATTGTAACAAATGGAACCTACCCAACGCGGTGATATTATTTTGTAATATTAAGGGCTCGTTATAAATCATATTTTAATAATATAAGTTACGTTTAAAATAGTGTTGATATAATTAATGCTATAACTTTCAAAAAGTGTCTGAATTGATAAATGATGGAAAAATATAATGTATTGTCTATGGGAGCATAAAAGCAAAGCTAATCTATTAAAAATTATTATTTTGCACTAAATTAACACTAGGTTTGCATTTAATTGATACATTAACAATAATTACTAAAAATCATAATTATATTGAACCACATCATCAAAATTAAATCATGCAAACTGTGTTATTTATATAAATGAGTTATAATATATTACCACCAAATGACTTAATTTACAATATTGCGTTCAGGCTACCACAACTAATTTTGAATAGTAAATAATAATTACAATTATTTACAAATAGTTAAAAATCTATTTTTAATAAGTTATAATTCATACAATATTCCAAACATACTATTAATATAAATAGATAAATTTTCTAAAATATATCATGTATATCAATTATTTTATCAATGAAACTCACTTAACTAAAAATTTGTTAAATAATGTGGTTTAAATAAAATTTAATTAAATATATAAACTTAGTTTTAAAAAACATACGTTACGATGCAATACGTTAAAATTTTTAAACTAATAATTTTGCTCATAAAAAACGTAAAAATATAGCAAACTCCCAAACCGCCCAGTTAATATTAAAATCCAAAACTATTTAATGAACATATAATACAAATAGAAATTCTTACAGTTTGTAAAGTAATGTCAAATAAATTATTTATTATTAACGATATATTTATGAATAAGTTACAACTTATATTTTAATTATAATCTTATTATAAATAGATAAATTTCCCAAAATTAATAATTTATATTAATTATATTACTAATTAAAAACCACTTAATTAAACATATAAATTATGTTTGATAATGTGGTTTAAGTAAAAGTTAATTAAACATACTAAATAAATAAACTTTTTGTAAAAACATAAAACCTATTTTAATAATTATGCTATGCAAATATAAATTATATTGATCTATACGGCCATGTTCACTTAATCCGCTGTTTGGCTAATCGTACGTGTTCATTTAATTAATAAACTAATTAGACATTATTAACTAATTTCTACAATTAATTTTTTAAATTTGAAAATTTTGGACATATTATAAACAAATATTTTATAAATTATGGCAGAATTAATCACTTTTATTTATCAATCAATTAAATTAAAAATCAAATCTTATTTTACAAATAAAAAACAAAATACAAACAAAAATTACATCTTAAATCGCAAATTATCTCATACAGTGTTAAGGGCCTAACGACGGGCCATATTATATGGATTTTTATTATTGTTGTCAATCGAGTAATCGATCTCGATCGTTTTAATTGGCTTTAATTTTTTGTTTGACTTTAACGAGTGGGTCGAGTAGGTTGAGAGGGGCGGACCCGGCGATCGGGGTCGGGGCGAACGGGTCTGTAGTGTAGAGTAGGACCGGTTGTGTTGGTCGGGAACGTAGTCATCGTTATCGTAGCCCAAGTGATATGACTTTGGCTGTGATTTGTTTGACTTGAGTGTCCCCTCGGGATAACCTTTGTTTAGTGAGTTGCGGGACCCGTATCGGGAGTTCGGGGCCGTCCAGTCAGCCCGGTATGGGTCGTAGTCGTCGACTGTCTCGTCCGGTTCCTGTTCGACAATCTAGGTGAAAAAATAATCACATTTGAAATTAATCATAATTAAAATTATGTTAACAAACTCAAGTGTGATAACTGTAACGTTAATGTAAAGTTATACTAAAATAACTTCATGAGGGTATGTTTAATACTATTGGTATTGCTTAGACATTTACAGTATAAAATTTTTGGGTTCAATTAAAATTATTGAATATAACAAGTTTATTTTAGTTTAATTTTTAGTCTGATATAGTTTATCGATACAACACTATGTGATGTACAGTACTTATTAACATTCCAGTTTAATTAAATTAAAATTTTACCTCAGTTTTAATACACCGGCAACTGAGCGATGAGCACATGAACATGTTTAACAATAACATTAATAGTAATAACACGGCCAGCACTATGCACAGGGTGATTAACCATGGGAATCTCCATTCAGTACACTCGGACAGATTTTCGTGGGTAACTAAATATAAAAAAAATTGTCAATAAGTTTACATCAAAAATTTGGCCCTAGGTAAATAAATGTTATAAACTAAATTAAGTTTTACTCACGTGAATCATCTGTTGGCTCAAAAACAAACATCGAGGTGGAGGCTGACAGTTGTGAATACCCATCGAGGGCTAAATCCCTGCCCTTCTAACCGGGTGAGTCGCACACCGGCTCCTGACAGCCGCCCCGACACAGTATAGGTCGCACTGTATGTTCAGTTGATTAGTGTCCGGGTATTTAAACATCTCATACAATACGGCTTCGGCTGTATGTGTGGTGTTGTAGTTGAAGGGCGAGATCAGGGCGTCGGCCGCAGGCGCCGGACACCCGTACGGGTCGATCAGTTGGACCTGATCTCCGGCGCCCGTGTCATCAGTGAATGCGAAACAGTTTTTTATACGTAAAGATGTTATGCCTTTATAGATAAGTGATAGATGTGTGAGATAGAGAATGGTTATTTTAGTAATGATTTATTAACATGTTCAGTGTGTTTAATTTTAATAAAAATTGAATAAAGTCTGTAAATGTTTTTTGCTTATGCATGTTTTATAATTAATGTATATTGATAAGTAAAATCATTATTGTTCACTTATCTTAATAATAGTTTTTTGTTTTACTAATGTTATAATAATAATTAATTATATATCGCGAATATTATATAAACCAATATTATTATAAATTATAAACTAGTCAGTAATTTTAAAACCTATTAAACATTACTTCATAACTAATCAATCTATTGTAAAATATAACGAGATATTTTATTATAAAAATTATTATTTAAAAATATTAATCAAATATACTACATATAGTAATCTAATTAAGTGATAAATTTTATATATATTATTTGAAATGTCAGTTTTTAGAACTTATACTGTTAAATAAACTTTATATAAAATTTTTATAAATATCAAATTAAACTTTTTTAAAAATATTATATGCTATTCTATACCATAAATCTTTGTAAAAGATTGATATTTTATATCATTCAAAATGTTTAAATATCATTACAGTATGTGGGAATTATAATATAAATGTATTTTTTTCGTTATATTATTAATATGACCAGCAAATTAATTAATATATTAATAAACTAAAATACTCGTAAATATAAATTAAAATTGCCCATGATACTTACTATCATATGGTGTGAATTGTGCCCTCAATATATAAGTATTGCCGTGTAATATACGGCCCGCTCTCTGACCACTCATATCAAGCAGTTTTAAAGTCACTTTATATGTGCCGCCACTAAACATAATAAAGTAAATATTGAAATAATACATATTGATAAAACAACATACAGAAAAATATCATCATAATTTAATTGAGCATTTTACTAACCGCACATTTTTATACCCGGATTGTTCGCACGTTAGGTAATAATTTTTATCATCAGTTTATTCCAGATTTTTATGAGGCCTTATAGCTAACGAAACTGAGCGTTCACCCTGATACAAATAGCAAAATGTATTGTTAACTCATAAAATTTATTACCATGATCACATACTTTAACACCCTTATTGATTCCGCAGTAAATCTCGTCATTTTCATCGGCCAATAGACTGACTTTTAACGTGGTATTAAACCCTCCGTTACCGTCTATAAGACACGGGCCTTTACGATAGCCGTGTGTGTGTACCACACCGTAAAATGGCTGTAGAGTGACCACATTAATGTACATAACGATTCTATGACACTTTTTCGAAAGACATTTTTTCGAAAGACATTTTTTCGAAACCAATTTTTCGAAAGACATTTTTTCGAAAAAACTAATTTAAAATTAAAGAATTAACAAGTTTAACCTAACCCAACTTACCCTAACCTAACCTAAACTAACTTATAATAACTTAACTAATGATATTATTAGCAATT